TTTCCCTGGGCAGGAGAATCAGTCACGTGGGGACGGCGCGGGTGAGCAATTATCACGGTGACAGTGAGCCAGTTTGCCGAGCAATCGTCACACCAGCATCGAGCACGGATGACGAAATCGCGGCCATTAACAACTTGGACTCGGACCGCCAAGCCACCGCCGCATCAATTACGACCCCAGCGGCGATTGTGAGGACTGTTAATTGCAGTGCGCATACGGTCCCACGGCAGCCACGTGCTATAAATACTGCACTCCTGGTGCCACCTTCACCTCTATCTGCGAATGTCTCTGATGATGGTTTCGAGTGAGAATCCGAAACGTCAGGCAAATAAACTTCTTGTCCCAGTGATCGCATCTTCATCTTCTGAACTGCTACCTGGGACTTGCCTGTTCGCTTCTATCAGTCACCATAAACTGATTCCCACTCAACTCACCGTTGCTGCACCCAATCATTGGGGAATGTAGGGTGAACGTCGTTGCTTGCACCAGCCAAACCATCACTTAGAGATGGTGTAATTCCACCCTTTCTCAATCGACTGTTTGGCCTGAGTTAAGCGGTGGAGTCACTGGAAATACGAATCCCGGCAATAGCAGAGGAACAATTGTGTTTTCATGTTTGCGAAATGCTGCTAGGTTTCAGCCGTGGACTCTCCTTACTACTTATTCCATTAACTATTTTTTTATATTTACCACTTTTTAAATAAATTTTAACTTTGCAGTCAACACTCTCTAATTAATATATAGTCGTGTCGGGTGTCTTCTGCCTTCAATAGGAGGGAGTCGACCCATGATACGGACTACACTGCCCAGTAGAATACATTGTAAACGACTTTTATGTTTTTTTTTCTAAGGTCCCCAAAAAGACACCGGCGGCCACCTCATCCAGTGTTATGGACTCCTGGTTCGGCCACCTATCATTCTCCTAGTTCGTGCCGTTGTCAATAGTCGGCGGATCCTTCCTCCTCCTTTGGTCTTTCAGCTCACTTGCCTCGTCCTTCACATTGTCGATTGTGGGTTTTTTTCTTCTGACTGGAGCCCCTATACACATCCTGCATCTCGCTTACAATTTTTTTTAATCTCACTCCTCGACTTTTTATTTGTCGTTTGAGTATAGTTCTGACAGCGTGTATGCTTTTGGCAACTACGTCTGGTTCTACAGCTCGACAGGACCTTCCAGTTTCTCGAAGGAGCATTCGCGAATTTACAGAGATCGATTGGTGCCGCACCGACCTCAGTCCAGTTTCAGGGTTGAAGAAAACTTGGAATGGTTTTTTTCTTATGCGGCTGGACATCTGACAAGAGGCTTCTGTTTGACGTCACCCTCAACCACACCAGGTTTTATACACGAAGTTCACTTTGTGGACTCGGCTGTCTAAAACTCCAGCTGGGGTTGAAAAGGGCGCTCCAACTGCCCTTCACTTTTGAGACTCTGCACAGATTTCTTGAGTCACAGATGAGACCCGGATGCCAGGTGGCAGCATAAAAGTGACGGACTAGTTCAGTTGGGCGTTTGAACACGACTGCAAAAATGGGTACATTAAGTTTACAGATAAAGTAGGGCTTCCCGAACAATCAACCTAGAGTCCACCGGATGTCTATCGGGCTCTCGGCCGAGATCGCCTAGTTCAGTTGTCCAGAGCGCCAGCTGTATTAACGACTTGCCCTTACTGTCGTGGGTTTAAATCTCACAGAGGCCGCCGCGCTTTTCGCAATTGGACCGGATAAGTCGTTCAGGTCTGCCGAAAACACATATTGGCTTTTTTCCCGACTCACGGTGCTGATTCTTACTCATTATCTGTTATTTACTCTTCTCCCTGGGTTAGACGTCTTTGGTGAGCAGAGGCCCATGCTGCGATCGACATGCCTCCCTCTTAGGCAGTAATATGTGGAATGCTGTTAGCTTCCTGTCGGAGAACCTCTGGTCTACAATTTCTCACTTTTGATGCCCTTGCTCCCTACTGCTGCTGACAGCTGGGCTCTCTGGGGAGCGGTTTGTGCTCAAAATAACCTACTTCAGGGCTGCCTTACATAACGGTTGTAGAATGTGCTCTCCCCAAGTCCTTACTGAGCATTCCCGATCACAGCCGGTTAAGTGCGCCGTGCTCACTGACCAAAATTCACAAATACTGTTCATGATATTTAAGTTTGCCTAAGTGGTTTTGTAACGAGGAGAAGTATATGGCATGACAGCTTGCCTACATATGCTTCGGAGCATGTTTGCTTCTCAGTAAAAGCACTTCGATTACCTATGGCGGCAGGCAGTCATCAGACATATGTCTCGTTTCGTTCTCTGGAGGCTACTTGTGTGTATTCTGCCTATATCATGCGCCACTGTACGGCTGCTGGTTGGGCTCGAGAGAGAGTCCATAAGGCACAACGGAACGAGCGAGTTCCGTAAGAGCGATCGATGAGCGCCCCCTATCATTGATGGATTAATGCCAACTGCTTTGATTAAAGTTTAGCCACTAGACAGTTGTCTTTGAATGATGTGGGGCTGGGCAACTTACGGAACCCGTTCTCCGGCATATTTCTGTTTGTTCGCGGACTCGTTAGGTTGTCCTCTTCTGGTACGATTTCTGTCGTTCTCGCATATGGACTTACAGCACACGCTCGTGTCTCGTCGGCTCCGTGTTTAACAGAGGTTAGTATGAAACAACACCTCAAGACGCTTCTGTAGAAACCGAATCTGTACACAGGTAAACCGCTATCGAAGATTGCGTTTTTCGCACCGTCGAAGCGACTGAATTCTGTGGCGCTCGAACAGATTGTCCATCAATTGAAAGTGTGAGTTCCAGGAAGCAGTTGAGGAGATTTGCTCGCATTGCCCCCCCCCCTCCCAACTTAATTTCCGGAACAGTCCTTTTCGCTGGTGTCGACAGACATGTTTCTGTCCCCATGATAGTAAGCGCGTTTTTCCGCGTTCCTGAGGCAATTAATGGCATTTATAGGGTTTTGTCTCGATAAAGTCCTACTTAAACTTGCCAAGTAGCGAGAATATGTGTAACTGCGCGTTTTGCAACCTTTTGAAGAAGCCTTCTAGACGTTTAATTACTGCTTTTAAAGGCGCAATATCCTCGACCTAACCAAGGTGTAAGAAGCATTTATCTGTCGTCTTACGCAGAATAACTGCCTGCGATATCCTCAACTAGGAGCGAGCTAGGCACGCACCGAATTACTTATGTTTCTGAGCGACGTCATCGTAAGCGGCTGCGGACGTTGTAGGCACGCAAGCACCTACTTGGAGTAATCACTTCTCCCCAGTGAAAGTTAAGCAAAGAAAATATTGTATTTGAAAATAGCCTCATGGTTGTAATCCGATGTTTCATGTACTTGTACGCGAATTGTAGATGGCCCTAAACTCCGAAGCTCGTTTAGGGACAACGCATTGGATTTCGGATCCTGTGTTTATGATGTAGTCGACTTACCCTCTCAGTTAGTCAACGTGCCGTTTGATATGATGCTGTTTTCCCTAGTCTTTTAGTGGTATGCGCTAAAGTCGCCAACATGCACCGTCAGGTCAATCGTGTTAGGCGGACCTTCATATTTGAGTAATTTTCAGCTGCATTCGATATGACAGCGTAGATTCGCCCTCATTTTCGCCTACTTTTTTCTTTAAATGTCTTCAGAAAAAGGACGCCCGTTGCTACTGGGTGGTTGTCCGTCTGATTTACCATCTCAAAAACAGTAGAGACGTAGACGATCATCACCTTGTTTACCATGTATGAACATTGGAAAAAAGTTGTCCGTGTGGATGTATATATCTATATTACATTACTTTTCTTTGATTGCCAAGTCTCTTGGTGGAGCGAAAGATGGCTAGTATGGTTTGATTCCTTGTGATCGCAGAGCCTCAGCCCACAACTTTCGGTGTCTTTGAAGGGTAATCTGAAACAAAATTAAGAGTAGTTCCTAGTGTTTTTTCAGCGAGAATCTGGTTTTAAATCTTCCGAGGGTATAGTTCTTTTGGAATGAAATTTGCAACGGAGTGAAAAGTACTCGACAAGGAAATAGGAAGAGACATACCCTTCTGATGTCTATCTACCTAATTTTCTATGGGTGGATGTCGAAACACAGGATAGACCATTAGTCTTTTCGTCAGTTAGAACTTGATGCCTTTATTGTCCGCCAATTGAAGTTTTTGAGATTTGGTCCCTGCAAATGTACTATGGGGGAATTCACGTGACGTAACGCGAAAGTGCAAAAAGGGATTCGTTAGAGGTCAGACGACATGTAGAGCACCCCGTATGTGTTACTTTGTTTTTTAATCCACTGCTAAGAGCTCAGACCGGTTACTGCCCTCTGTGGCCTCTCTTATACGGTGATCCGCAAGAACAATGGACACAGAAAAAGGCGCGTATATGCACCTCTAATGCTCGTGTGATGTAGTGTGGGCTGCCTCGCTTGGACGATGACTTGCTCAAAAGCAGTTTGGTTATAGGTATTGGCAACCAGACGCAGGGGTAGCATTTTAGCCGGGATGCCCATCGCTCCCACTCTTCACCAGGAAGTCTAAACACGGGACCTATTTTGCTGCCCATTGCTGTCACTGAGCGATTACTGGAAGCGTGTCGCCAAGGCATAGCGAAAACGGAGATGTATGCATGCGTCAGTTCAATAGATTTGCTGATGCCGTGCATATCCCAGCGAGCGCTTTACTAAAATCGGCATCTACAACGAATGCTAATATCTGTTGGTCGACCGACCAGATGGATAGAGAGTGGCGTAGTCCGTTCAGGTAGCACATGGTAACATTTCCTGATCGAGGATCTAAAAACCCCTTGGGAGTAAAGTCGCTTGCAAATCACTAAGTGTCGTAGGACCACCGCTTCTTCGTCCTGCATAAGTTTATGTGGTCTATCTTTCCTCGTTGATGATAAAAATGAAGTCTATTCTCCGTTAGTGTTAAAATTCGTCAGGTTCATATAGTTCTTTTAGCAGTGACTGTTATAGTGTTTGGTTTTTGTAATTTTACTGGACCCACTGCTATGCTTAGTCGCAGTCTATGTTGCCTCCTCAGGCAACGTGACTTGCAGCCCGTCTGGCGATTTGGCAGCCAGTTGCCGCGTTTCACTCACCTTGGCTATGGCCACTTTGCGCTCATGTATCTTCTCTTTTCTCCGCAGTGTGCGCATGTCTCGAACACAATCCACGTAGGCGAATGCGGCTGGCACGCGATAGTCTCCAATCAGCTGTTTGAGATTGGCGGTAGCAGCTTCAACCTGCTCTTTTTCCTGAAAAGGTGGGGTAAACATACTTCAAAGACATGTTGGGTTGATACGCTGAATTGATATGCATACACGGACGTGGCGTGCATCAATCTGTCCTGACCGCAGGACGGAAATGATCATTTTCGCTTTACTTTGGAGTTGGGAGTCTACTTGATTAATAAATGGGAAGGCGGACTTAATACTGTTGAGGAGGTCTTAATTCGATGTGACGCTTAACAGACGATACAGGGTTTTTCTTATTCTACAGATGTGAGTAAGTTTGGAAAAATATGACGGGTGGGTTTGTGCCTTGACTTTTTATCAGGCAGGCATGTGCTTCCATCTGTCTTGCTGTCGTCTAGAGAAATAGGTTTCTCCTTAGCTGTTGTTCTAATCATGATCTGCCTCATACAGCTATAAACATCGTCAAGTCTAGTGTATTATTTAAGAGTTGTTAAGTTAAGTCTGAGAACTTGAAAGCCAGTGTAGGGGAGACAACAGCTAGGACTGTAATTAATTGTCGAGTTAACTGATTTGCTTATTTGTTCCGCTTACTGTTATGAAAAATAAGAACTTTCTGCACAGGGGAACCGCTTTCGTAGCGACCGTTTGACAACTGAGCGCTTACCTTTCTCGAACTTTCTATCTCAGCCTTCGTACGTTCCATCAGGTCTCTCCGGGTTTGGATCTCAGACCGTAATACCTTGGCCTCCTGTAACACTGTGCTTAACTTCCTCTAGATATTACGTCGTTCAAAAATAATTCCTTCTACCCTGTATGCATTCACAACTTGCAGTGTTCTGCCGGCGGTCAGTTTGAGACGCAAAAGCTCGTGATTCTTTGCATCGATCGATGCAAGAAATGTAGCATTTTCAATTTTCAACTGTTCGAAGTCGACTTCATGAAGAACTTCGCCCATTTCTTCCTTCTGCCGCAACTGTGCCAAAAGTTTCTTCTTTTGAATTTTCAGCGTCGAGTTCTTCAAACGAAGTTGTTCTACTAGTGTATCCTTTATGTTGGATAAAAGTAGAACGATATTTAGTACGCGATGAAATGCATTTATCAGATCTTTTCACTTATTTCAAAAATGTCGGCTCGAAGGAGTAATGTCAGCGCATGAGAAATGATAAAATAACAAGCTTCAAAGTCAGTTAAAAACTCTTATGGCGGCATATTTTAATGGAATTGCGAATCAGTAAGTCTTATGCTTGATCCGCCATACTTGTAGATGCATGTTTCTAAGACCATGGACCATACGCAGACACTAATGTTATGCCCAGAACGTTTCCAACCATTTTGGTGAGAAGATGCATAGTCCGCTAAAATCAGGATCGTTTGCTACTTTTCCTTGTCATTCCTTGTTAAGGAGTACCAAAATCAACTACTCAACAGCTTGTGCTGTACTGCGCTCTCCAGCAGTAGAAGAGTGATCCTGGGTTGAACGAATGCCATCATTAGTCTGATTGCAGGACTTATCGTCTGATGAGAAGAAACGCCTGCTCCGTTTACCTAACCAGCCAGGAGGAGGTAAATTTCAATGATGTATCCGGGAATTAAATTATCGGGTATATTCTGTCGCCTTTCTGTGAGTATGTGCGCGATGAAAAACGCGGTCACCAGAAGTTTAAAGGCAGACGTTTAGGAGTAAGGCGACTAATGGACAAATCTCATTGATAAACAATAATGCTGCAGAAGCTCGGACATCTAAACAGTGGAAAAGTGATCAAATTGGAAAAATTGTCAAAACACTAAAGAAACAAGGGAAAGCTCAGAAATGATAAGGAGGGAGGGCTGCTCGACCGCGGAAAAACGTTATTCATGAAAGCTTCCTGGATCCAGTAAGAATTATATATGCCAATAGCGTTGTCTTTTCAAAACAGAGTTAACAATCAAATTTTCACGAAGTATAACAGTACTGCACTCCGTCGCCACCGCAGAGAGTAACGTTAAACTATGAATGCATACAACACCTCTTAATCAATTTGGTTTGATTGCGTCTGCCTTCAGAAATCAACTGGAATTAACAAGCAGACAAGAAGATAACTCGTTTCAATACCTACTGGAGCGCTGTAAATCTCGACCGTCGAGGGCGTTTTCTGGATGTCTTAGCGGCTTTCTGGTTGCTCTTAAATATTTGGATACTATGTAGGAAAAGCCAGTCATGTTTTATAACGCATTTTCTTAAAAATGCCCTCTAAGTAAGCTAACAATATGAAAATTGTTGCAAATTACGCCTAATTTTGAATCAATGGTTTGAAGTTAACTGATGAGTTAACTAGTTTCTCGAGAAACTAGAAACCCCCAAACGTACGTACCCTTCCGCGAAGGTGTTCCTCCAAAAATCGCATAACCCTTTCAGCAAGTACAGCATGAAAGCGCTCCTGGTATGAAGTTTTGATGACTTCTTTCTCAAAATCATAAATGAATTTTTTGGCTTCTTTTAGCTGTATGTCTGCCTCTTCGATTATAGCCTTTGCCGAGTATGCACAAAGGTCTTATGGGTTACCTTGTAGCCATCAATAATCTTTTCCGATGAGGCTTTGAGGGCCGCCATATCCTGTTTATAGTCCTCAATTTCCACTTGCGCTATTGTACATTTTTGTTCAGCAGTTAACTTAAGTGTGCGATCTTGAACCACGCCACGGCTTCTAGACCTCTTCCGGCTCATGCGACTCATTTCCGAGGCTGGGGCTGACACATTCTGAGAAACCGAACATTTAGGAATCCTTACCTTCCTCTGTCATTTCTATCTTTATGTCGAATTTTTTAATATAACGGTCCATCATTTGGTTTTCAAACTCCAACTCCTCAATAATTTTGCTTCCGAAATTACTTTCACAATAACGTACGTGTTTTCTTTGATAAAATTATGCAGGGCTGATTCATTAAAATTGTCAAAAGCACTCTCTGATTTCTGCAGCGTTTCGTCCGTGTTCTCATCCTCCATTTTTAAAAGCCCACGTTTAGCAGTAACTAAAATAGCACAGATTGACCCTCTTGCGATGGCTCATTAGAAGGTCATGCATTATGCAGATCCTAGAAAAACTCGTAGTGAATCCTACCGAATTTATTGCATGGCTTGGCATCAGAAGGCGTTCTATATTGTGCTCAAAAAGACTCATAGAAGTTACTTTGGTGGCACGAAATACTAACGTACTCGGGGCTAGCCTATTCTGAATTCACGCATTCAAGTTGGAGCCCACTAATTCAGGTATGATTGCCGACAGATCTTCCAGGATCTGTGAAAATATGGAGCCAAAGACACGTTTTGTGACACATGCTAGAAGTCTGTAAGGTCTGTGGGGACCAGTAAACATTGCTGGGCGGGACAATGCCAGTGTCATTAGATAGAAGGACATGTGGTTGACATATATTCACAGAAGACTATATCAAACGAAAATACAGGTGGGGATGGGGAAGATCCATGTATGGAATGGATTTTAGCGAAAAAAATAAGGTTCATAAAAGGAGGTAGGACCAGGCACAAACTGTGATCCAGAAATCGAGCAAACGTTTCACTGTTATATTCTGACGAGTAGATGGAAGAGAAGGAAAGCGTTTATTTCGAAACAGCCACTTTATCCTCGCAAACTGCAAGCGCGCGGATTCTTAATGCCGCAAAGCTGCCATATTTTTGGGCATTTAGCGTTGTGAAACATTGGGGCCTATGGCCTATCAGCCGTGGATTAGCCGTGGCGTGCACGATGACCATATCACAAAGACCCCGAATGTTTGACCGGCCATTGATTGATCTGCACGGGTGAGCAAAGGCGCCACACATGTTTGGTGCTGCAGTACAAGTGGGTCGGCTGTCTAATTTCATACGTGTATTTTGTTGTCAGCCTGGTCTTCTCTACCGTTGATGACCAAGTCTTCATTTCGATTTGGACAGTGACTCCACGTCGTTAGCGCTCCCCGTCATATATCTCATTTTTGAAAGTTGGATCTCGCACTTCTGTTTTCTCAGGGCTGACGCCGGTTTCCTGGAGGTCGCGGTCTTCTGTGGCTCCTCTTAGTGAGCGATGACATAGTACAGTGTATTTATGGTAAATACACTGCATCCGATGGCGCTGCCGATAACGGCGCGTACAATACTCAAGTTCAAGCAAACACGTTATTAGTGTTGTCAGTAGCATATACATCTAACAGGAAATTGTTTTAACGGCGTGAGACAGCAGCCGATGCCCACGTAGTTTTTTGCGCAGATAGAAGACGCGGAAGTTATGCTAGGTAGTTTCCAGATTCTGCGGATGGACCGAAACGAACGAAGGGGTGGGGGGATTGCCATATTTATACAAGATGACATCGACTACGTCAGGGTTGAGTCTTCCCCATTTCGGCACATGGATTGTGAAATACTCAATTGTTACTTGAAGTTGCCAAACCATCCAAGCCTCTATATGGCCCTGGTTTAAAGACTGCCAAGCCAGCGGACGGATGCGGACGATGCACTTATCATCGAGATGACAGAAATTTGTCGAAGCAAACGCATAATGGTACTTGGTGACTTCAACTGTCCAGACATCGAGTGGGATTTGATGCATTGCACGCGATCAGAAAACTCCGTCGAACAGAAATTTGTGCAATTGATCACAACTGAGTTCCTTACCCAACATTTTAAAGCGGACACTCGATTCAGAGATGGACAGCAGTCCAGTTGTTTGGACCTCATCATCACTAGGGATGATAGTTGCATTCTCGGATTGGAATCGCACACGCCCCTTGGCCGAAGTGATCACTGCGTTCTTTTTTGGGAGTAAAGTCATTTTTCTGTACCCGAAATTCGAGCTACTGAGGAAAGAAATGTATGGAAAGGGGATTATACCCGAATGAAAAACCTGCTACAAAAGGTGAACTGGAATGCAGCACAAGGACCTGAACCAGAAAGCGAATGGCTCTTCTTCAAGAACATAATGCAACACTTGGTAGAGATCTGTTGCCTACTTAAGAGGAAGCTGCGCACTTCCCGACCAGGGTGGGTGACGTCAGAAATAAAGAACCTTAAATTGAAAAGGAGACTTTGGAAAAAGTACGCCAGATGTCAGCAACCAGAGCATTTCGCTGACTTCAAAAAAGATAGGAATATATGTCGGAACCTGCTGAGGAAGGAACGGGCACAATTTGAGTCAAAACTTCCAAAAATTATCTCACAAAATTCCAAAAAATTCATTGGATACGTGAATAAGGCGAAACGCAACCGGGACTGCATTCCCTGTCCAAAAGATCGCCGGGGAAATACGTTGTCTGACAACGCAGATAAGGCGAATCTGTTGTCCGATTTCTTCACGTCTGTGTATACCGAGGAGTCGGCTTTTGTTGAAAGAGTTTACCCCCCAATTGCCAAATCAAACAAAAAAATTAGCACGGTGGACTTCACAACAGACACGGTAAGGAAAACTTTGAGTCAACTACAGCCCACTAAATCCCCTGGTCCGGACGGCGTGTTTGCAAAAGTCCTGAATGAACTCCCAGACCAACTGGCCTCTCCGTTATCCAGGATCTTCAGAACTTCGGTGGACACCAGGGCTTTGCCTACCGACTGGAAGAAAGCAAATGTAAGCCCCATATATAAAGGTGGCGAGGGAACAGCCCCAAATAGTTTCAGACCAGTGAGTTTCACAAGCATCTGTTGCAAGTTGATGGAAAAAGTAATAAAAACGGAGCTGATGCGACACCTCGAAGAAAACAACTTGCTCAGTTTGCATCAGCATGGATTTCGAAGGGGTCGATCCTGTCTCACTAACCTGCTATTATCCATGGAGAGCTGGGCGAAATCAATCGAAATGGGCTTATCAGTCGGCGCCGTGTACACTTACTTCAAAAGGGCTTTTTGACAGTGTTCCACACAGACGACTTATATGTAAACTACGTCAAGTGGGTGTGAATGGGAATCTGTTGAAATGGCTAGCTGATTTCTTTACGAGCAGATCTCAGCGTATGTGTATCGGAAACACCAAATCGGAATGAGCATCCATCCACAGTGGCCTTTCGCAGGGGAGCGTTGTGGGTCGAGGAAGGTCGAGGTCGAGCCGCCGGTTGTAAATTTGAAGATAAGTGGAGGATATTATTTTGAGTGGTTTTTCTGTGAGACCTAACGATTTTAGCCCCTGTTTTTTGGTTGAATTTCCATAAATACAGGCATATTCTCTCCGAACTGCCCGCTGCCATCTCCTTTTGAGTCCTGCTAGTCTATGCCTGTTGTTCACTAGTCGCACTGCAATTCGATTTCTCTCTAACTGTTGTAATTTACTTTTACATCGTTAACCCATAGCTGAAATTCAGTCAACTTGTCTGCCAGAGGTTTTCTTAATCACAACTTGCTCGAGACAAGATGAGAGCAAAAGTCACTGGTCGGTGTAAGCTCTCGGCCTCTGTAAGTAAGCATGGCCTAACTAAACGTAAGTCAGAAGCCTTACCTAAATCTAAGTCAGATGATATTACTAGTCAGTCGTCACCCGTTGTAATTGATCGGCAGCTTAATCTGTCTGCACTTGACCACTGCAATGACTTTATGCTAAAGTTTGGCACTTTGCTGTCAATTCTTGGAAATTTATTCGACGGGAACATCTCCGATATTCCCTCTGAAGAATGTAGGCGTCTCGACTCACTTGCTCACCTGATCGCCAGGTAATCTAGTGATAGACAAAAGCGTTCTTACAACTTCCTGCTAAAAAATGTTCCTCGATCTGCCCGGCCAATTGATGTTGCAACCAATTTCCTGTATTCATTTGGTTTCAACTACAAAATAGCCGGAACATAGGCTTGTCCTCCCGTAGCAAAAATCCACCCATCTTAGTCAAATTATTTTCATCAATCGAGGATGACACAATCTTTGCCCATCGAGAGCGTGCCACTGCGTACCTAGAAAATGCAAACTGTTTCCTTTGTCATGATCTTACTCCTATGGAGCGTAGAATCGGGTCTCTCTTCACACGTAAACTCACTGCCTCTCAGTCTAATGCTCCCCAACTCGGTCATAATACAAGTGGCCGTGAGGATTTAGCTTGTCCCACTCCTGCGACATCTAACTCCCTCCTTCCCCTTTCTCCTACATTTCCATCTCACTCATGCCACTTGACGCATTTGCCTGCCCCTAAACTAGCTGCAGCAGCAGCGGCCCCATTTGTCGTTTCGTATCCTCCGGATAGCCCCGCTGAGGCACGTGAAAATCCGTCTACATCAGCTAGACCGACAACTTCTCTTGTCCAACTGGGTGCTGCAAGCTCTACAGCTAAGTCACCCGTGGCTTGGCGTCAGAACGGTGAGACGCGAAAACTGAATCAGACTCCGACCCAAAAAAATAGGTTGAACAGTTCTATTTAGGGGTAGGACGCCTTCTCTTAGATCTAACAAGTCTGTTCAGCCCAGCACGTCTACATACCCCGCAGCTCAAATTATATCCCCGAATAATTCTCTGTCCTGCGTACCGGTTACTTATCAAAGCTCTACTATATATCCAGCAAATAATCCATACATGAATTGCCCTAAGTTATTTATGCTCCAACCTAGTACAGGCTTCCCAGCACTTAAGGCCAATTGCTCTCAGGTACGTCAACCTACCTCCTTTGTCTTCCAACCTAGACCTGGTTTCCAACCCTTTTATACTTATGGCGGCCTACCCTCATCCACTAGCCCCTACTTTCCTTCTAGCCTCCCTCCTCCTCCTCCTCCTCTTCCCCTTCCTCCATTATTTAACTACCAACAAGTCTATCCATATTCTAACTCCCCTTGCATTCCAATGTTC